TTCAGTTTGATTAAACGATGTGGTGTTAACTTAGCATTAAGGATTTATCATATTTTCACAGACACAATCAATGAGCCATTTCCCTGGAAATCTGTGGAAATGGCAATGGCCAATGTTGAAATGTTCGTGGAACTCCATATCTCATTATCTTTTCACTTCCGTTCTATTAACGAGTAGTTTGATTGGTGCTATTACTTATCTGTATACAACTTCTAGACGATCATCTCGTAATGCACTACGAACTCTTGCTAGTAAGTTCTATTAAGCCAGTCGTATTTAGACCAGTGCTAATTGATTCCTCATTATCTCAAATCCTCATGATCTTTGTTGGTTTCATCACAAATTAATATATCGTTCCTTTTCATTTTTATCTTTTTTTCTTACTTCCAATGAAATTTGCGTTGAGTCTAATGATTTCAAATTAATTACATGTCGAGGAGGAGTCCAATAGTCTTTATTTATTTTTAGATAGTCGTGGGCAGTGCGTTCCAGCAATGTTTAATTTGGGCAACACATGCTTTGCTAATTCATTGTTGCAGGGACTGGCCAGGTTATTCTTAATTTAAATTATCTTATGAAATCAAGTGACATATTTTTTTTATTTTTCTTAGGTAGTTATCGTTGCTTTATTTATTTTTGGTTCAAATGGAACGGAAAAAAGTGGATTTTTATTCATTGCAGTTCAAAGGCTTTTTTTAAATGGATCCAGAGAGTTGATACTAGTCTTGCTTATGGTGGTCATAAATTAGTGTTTTTGGATGCCTTAAAAAGAGTTGTTCAAGGTTTGATGTTTTATAAATTTAAATGCATACTAGAGGTTGCTTACTCCTTTATTTTGTTTTTTTTTGAGTTTTGAATATAGTATAATAATTTCTCATTTTGGAATATTTCCAAGTTAGAATATCTTAAGCTTACTAAGCCTTATTAATAATCTAAAGTAGTTAGAACACATGACTAGTGACTAACATTGTTTTATGTGTAATGGCTCAGAATAAATAATTTATAAAAAATAAAATAAAAGAAAAAAAAAGAAAATAAATTAGTTGAACTACCTTTACCCTTAAATTTAAAATTATGCTTGTGTAATCAACTGAAACTCTGACATAGTATTCCTCATTTGCAGAGTTAAATGACGCCACAAAGACGACATGCTCCGCTTCGGATGTAATTGATGCTTTACTGGCACACAGGTGGTCCATACCACCAAATACGGAACAGGTCTTTCGTATTCTTGAATGTCTAGCTCTTTTTTTGTGATATCACGTTATTTGCATATGTTTTTATACCTTTTTTTTATGAGCAAGGAATCTTTGTAATGTTCAGATGTGATTTACTAATCTTTCGTTTAAGAACGATTGTATAATTTTATGCATCAGGATTTGCTAATTGAATTTTTCATATTTTTATAGGATTTATATGAATTATTTAATGTATTCGTTACAACGTGGGATGAAGAGTTGGCAGAACTGAGGCATAGTCGTGCATCACCGTTGCAGAAAATTATCGAAATCGTTAGTTTCACTTATTAGTATTTAGTGCTGATAATTTCTTGAAATCATATCATACTTTATGGGATTTATATATTTTCTTAAATTAAATTATTCTCTTCCTCAACAATAACTGGATGAAAAAAGAACTGCTTCTGGTACCCATTCACAAGGTACTTTTCATTTCCTAATTGTCGAATATATTCTGGAAGACTTCAAACCATGGCATGAAAGTGAAGTTGTAGGAGCAGGAAAATAAAATGTCGTTGAATTCACCGATCACTGATAAGGAGATCTTAACAAGCAACGTCAACATAACCCGCCGCAATGTCGGTGATGTGGAAGACAAGAAAATTCATGATAGTAATTATCTTAACAATACTAGTTTGAACTCCTCCAGTGATTTTCATCCTTTGCCACTTAATTCACTATCATTTGAACATGTGAAGGTTTGTTTTTGATTTTGTTTCCCCACTACATGAGTATAGTGGTAAGGTGTCATCTTAAGATCAAATAAACATTAACGTTAAAGTTTTCTTTCGTGTTTACCGATTCGGAACTGAATTCCTATTTTATATACACATTTCTGATAATCAGTAAGTGACGTGTTCTTTCAGAGCACTGTGGCAGACGAGAAGCTATTAAAACCTCCATGCATGGGATTATTAGCTATTCAGTTACGTTGCTGTAAAGAGGATTGCCTTTATAAGGTATGTTAAAAGATTTCTATATGGTTTTATGTCGGAAGCTTTTTGTTTTCAACTCTTTCTACTTATATCGTTATATTGTTAACAATGACAAATTATATAATCTCTGAAGCTCAGTTTATCTGGTTTAGAAAATCCGCGAAGAAAAATTTTGTGTTTTGTCACTTTCGCTTCCGAAATCACCCACTCCGGTAAGTAATTTGTTTATTATAAACCATATACTCAATATGACTTATATTGCACTTCGTGCGTTTAATGATATTTATTGTTACTTAACTTTGGAAAATGGTGTTCAATTACGACTTTTAAAAAGAAGTGATAAGAATTTCACACAAATATACCGTTATGATTTACAGAAAAGTATAAAATATGAAGAACAGGAAAAGTGCGTTTTCAGTTCATAAGCTTGAGTATCAAGAAAGGAACCGATTTTCAATTAGCTAAATTAGAAGAAAAATAGTCTTTTCAGCTGCTAACATTTTCGAGATTATTGGAAAGATATTTTGCCACTGAATACATCCAAGGAGCATCATGTGATCGATGTTTAGAAAGGAAGCAGGATCGATCTGGTGGCCTAATGAGGAAACAAGGATTTTGTAAAGTAATTTTCATATTTTTTTGTGGTTACTACATTTCATGAATTCTCCACCATAATAATATACCGAATTTTTTTTCTTGGACAGTGCATGTGGCAGTACGAGATTTTCTGCCCTGTATCATTTTGTCATTTTTGCATTTTTTTTGCTATAGGTTTTTAAATAAAAGATGATTTTCTCCTGTAATTTAATACTTCATTTTACAGTTGCCGTCTTTATTGATATTTCGTATCGAGCGAGTTGGATTTTCTCCTGATGGATACATTTTCAAACGTACTGAACGTTTTTTATTTCCTGAATTCATTGATGTTCGAGAATATTGCTTCTTCAGTGAACAAGTTTGATTTTTAATAATTTCAATAGATAAGTAAATTTATTCAACTTCCGTACGTAGCTTCTTCAAAGGACTATGATGCGCTTAACGCAACATTTGCAAATTATTTTTCTTACTCCTTTTTTGAAATTTAACAGATTCTTTTGTTAATACGATAATTTTTGCACTTTTTCATCTCTATTTTACTCTCATTACTTCAAAGTTTGCATTTTTCCTTTTTAACAAGAAACTGATCTGTTTTGATTTTAGAGCAATCCAAAGCAAACGAAAGACTCGTTATCAAATTCCAGTTTTCGAGTTTTGGGAGGTTCGGCTTTAAATGCGTCATCTTCTATTCCAAAAGTCGAACAACAATGGCAGCAGGCTACACAGCTGTCTTTAGTTAGGTGAGTCAGTGATTTCTAGCTGAGTTTTTCCTATGTCAGTTTATATTATACTTTTCAGCAATGGGACGAATCTCAGTGAATACGATAGTATGTTCAAATACAAGTACCAGTTGCGTGCTGTTTCTGTACATATTGGACAAGCTCAGTCAGGTCATTTTATTACCTATCGTCGAGGAATTGGCGTTCAAAATCGATCTACTTGGTATAAAACCAGTGACACAGAGGTAAATTTGATGTAGAAAGAACATGAAATATCCAAATATATATATAAAGAATTAATAAAAAAAAAATATTTTTATACAGTGCAAAAGCAAATAACCTTATTTGAAATTTAGGTTACGCCAGTATCGTTCGCACAAGTGGTATCATCAGAAGCATACATGCTCTTCTATGATAGAGCTCTTGCTACATTAAATTAAACATAAAGAAATCCAGAAAAAGATGAAACGTTCATCTTATTTTATTTTAAAATGGGAAACACACCTCTGAACAGGTACAAACTTTATGCTGTTTTTTAACTTTTTGTTGTATGTTGTACTGGATCAAATCCTGTTAGCTTACTTTTAATCGGATTTTAATGTTCAGCACTTGTGTTTTGAATTATTTTGTTTTACTTTTGTATATTGTTGAGAAACGGGTTGCTGTTTGAGTAAATTATATTTTCTTATTGATCTGATGCTCAAATATTTTAAAAAATGATCTTTTCTATGTGTATGGAAGAGACCATTCAAAACTGCGCTTTCGTATCTTATAGCTGACTGAAATTGTATTTTGATGAACATATCATTGCTTTAAACGGTAAAGTTGAGATATGTGCTTTTCTGAACGATAGTTGTTATGTTTGACATATACATTCTTTTTGTTTTATTTGTTTGAATTGTTGTTCATTTTCATTCGTCGCAAATTTTTGATCTAGTACTATGAATTTTTACAAATTGTGACACTCCTGGCTGCTGATTTTTCTTGTGCAAAGAGATTGCTTTGTTATAACTAATTATTGTGAAAAAACTAACTCTATATATACATTTTTTTACTCATTAATTGCAAATAAAACATATCCGTACTATTTGCTATGGACTGAATAACTGGTGGAATTTTTACACGCTTTAAAAGGCACTATCATGCTTTGAAAATGGACATCTCTCAGGGGATGAAACAACGCAACTTTATAAATTAACGGATATTAGCAGCTTTGACCTTGAGCATCACGTTCGCGAGTGGGACGACACTTGGGATAATTTTGGAAGTTAGGGGGAGGGAATAGGAGTGGGGGGTTGAAGATTTCTACATTTGGACATCGATGCATGCCAGACTGTCCAGTTTATGACAACTGCGCTCGGTAAACAGTTCTGGTCGATTTCATTTCATTCTTTTATTGGTTATTTTATTAATTTTCCTAAATTTTTCTGGTTAAAATTAGTTTTTTTTTTTTTTTTTTTGATTAATTGTTTTTAGTAAATGTATACGCAGTTTAGGTAACTGGGATACTAATGGATGATAAGTTACCTGAGGATTTTGATGTGATTATTTTGGGCACTGGACTTCCGGAATGTATGATTGCGGCGGCTTGCGCCCGTTCTGGTCTTAGTGTATTGCAGTTGGATAGGTAAGTGTAAAAGCTGGTTATGGTTCCATTTTTTCGTATTTGTTACGATGGAAAGTTTCCGAACAAAAAATGACATAGAATTGTTTTTATGTAAGGAACGATTATTACGGTGATTTGTGGTCCTCATTCAATTTACGAACAATCCAGAATTGGATAACGAGAGATAACAGGAATGATAATGAAGCTGAAATTAATTCTGAATCTTTTCTGCGTGATGGTGAAGAATTTTTACCAGTTACATATCGTTCTTTTGTTAAGAATGTCCATCAACATTTTTTCCACGAGTTAGTCTTCCACAATGATTTCTTTTTTGGTTCTGTTTGTTGTTACTTGAAGATGGCAAATACATTGTGTTGTGTTTAGTTTGGAATGCAGTTATATATATATATTTTTGAGTTCCAGCAATATTGCAAATGTTGAGGGATTGGATGCTGCTGGAATAGCTTCGCATTTGCAGGATATCAATCCGCAATGGCGAAAATTCAGTTTGGATCTTTTACCTAAGGTTTTTCATCATTAGATTGTTAACTTTTTGTTTTTTTGGTCATAAGAGAGTGTTTTTTCCCATATGAATAGAAGTTTTTTTTTTTTTTAATTAGTGACCTTGATCGAATGCCATGTTTAAATTATATCTGTTTGATTGCTTTTCACGTTAACTGTTACTGACTGGTGAGATCGGAAACTTCTGAATCTAATTATCGCTATTTATTTGTCTCTAAATTAAAAGAAAAAAACCGATCAATTGTTTAGCTGTTTGACGACACGTCATATTTCAGGTATTATTGAGTAGAGGTGATATGGTAAAATTGCTGTGTGATTCTGGTGTTGCCAAATATTGCGAATTCAAGTGTGTTGATCGACTTTTGAGCCATATATCAAATAAAGGCTCAAATCGACTTGAAGTTGTTCCGTGTTCTCGAGGCGAAATATTCCGAAGTGATGCTATTTCGTTGGTTTCCTATTATTTATTTTCTAGATTTCTTAATTAGGTTATTTGGATCTGCTCTGCTTCGAAAATAATTTTCAAATCTTAACATCATTTTCACTTGTCGGGTTTCCATGACATAATAAATAATAATAGTGATTCTATATTGCGTTATGGTTACTGTTACGAAGAACTAAAGTGGTCAATTATATCTTTCTTACTCAAAATCACATCGAAATTCACTGTTTTATCACTGGATTTTTTTTCTTGAAAAAGAGATTACCCATTTAAAAAAGAAAAAAGATATTGGGTTTATGTTCAGAGTGCAAGATAAACGACGAGTGATGAGATTTCTCCAGAAATGCATTGAATGGAGGAGAAATCCTAATGAAAATGACAGTTGGAAAGGTAACTAATCTCGAGTACTCTCAGCGGAAATTAAGTGTTGATGAAAACAAAGCATCACTGCCTTGATGTTATTTTTAAGAATTAATATTTCAGTGCAATGTCAAACATTATGATATTTTAAATGTTATGTATTAATGAAGTTGCATTTCTTTCAAGAATATGCTGAAAAACCGTTTGATACTTTCGTGGAATCTATTGGTATCGTAGGTCAAGCGAAGAGTATACTTACTGACACTTTAGCAATCCTTCATCCATCATCTAACACTAAGGAGATAAGTTGTCTATGTTTGCAAGTTTTGTGTTGAAAACAATTCCTATGCAAATTTTGCCAACTTGCTTTTTGAATGAGATTGATTTTTAAATCGCTAAAAACATTTTATGTTTTGAATCAAAAATCTTTTTTGCTTTTTGTGTTGTTCGTTTCCGTGCACATCATATGGCAAAATTACTAAAATTACTAAACTCGCCCAAATATGACCACTTGTAATTGTCGTAAATTATCAAAAAATATAATAAGGCCTGGAAGCAATATGGCAGTTTATGGAATCTGTTGGACGCTTTGGTGATTCGCCATTTTTGTGGACACTATATGGTAGTGGAGAATTACCCCAGTGTTTTGCCCGACTGTGCGCTGTTTTTGGTGGAATTTATTGTCTGAATCGTTCGGTTGATGGCTTTATCGTCGCTAATGGAAGGTCTTTTTTTTTCCAAAAAAAGTTTTCATTTATTTTTTTTTAAAAAAAGTAATATTTTCAATAACATTTTGATCTTTTTAAAGAATTTTAATACTTTTAGATTTTAAAAAAAAATTAATGAAAATTTATTGGTTTTAAGATTGTAATACAAATAACTTTCAGGATAGTAGCGGTAATAACACAAGGTCAGCGCATAAAATGTAATCACGTAATAGCAAATGAAGCATACGTACCTCAGCAGTACATAAGCACCTCGTTGCGAACGCAGCTGAATCGAGTTATTTTGATAACAGATCGTTCTATTCTACCAGACCTCGAAAAAGAACATGTAATTCATCATTTTTGAGGAATCATTTCCTTTTTTCAAGTTAATCAGTTAGCATGATACGCTTGGCGGTGCTAATACTACGACCAAATCTTATATTTGTTTGATTTCCACTATTATCACGTCAATCTTTTCAGATCAGTGTATTAAATCTCTCCAATTTAGAAAGTAATATATTTGCTTATTTACTGGAAGCCGGATATGAAGGATGTGTTGCACCAAAAGGAAGATGTTAGTATTAGAGTCATTTTTAACTGTAAAAAATTTGCTTTATTTTATCATGATCCTATAAGTGACAAACATTTACCTCTTGTGTGATCATAGTCTTTTTTCGTGCAGTTATGGCAATTTTACCGACTTCTGAATCCTTTTTAATTAATCATCTAGTATAACACTGGCTTATTTGGTTTCTCAACTACCAAAGAATATTTGATGCTAAGCACAGTAATTTGATTATCTCATAGAAGGTTAAGTAATTTTATCACTTTTTTTTGTAACTATCCGTTTGCCTTTGATAACAAAATTTGGAGTGCTAATGTTGCATAACGGAAGCTGTATTTTCATTAACTTAAAACTTCACTGTTCTGTTTAGTGAAAATTCGAGTACGATTCAAGTTTACATAATTAAAAGACACAAAAACTCTTTTAGATGTAACTCATATAACAGCACGAAGTGATAGCGCTGCGAGCATTATTTTAAATCCTATAATTGATGTTTTTTTCAATATGACGGCGAATGGTAACTGTAATTTTCTTATTTGCATTAATTTTTCCTTCCATTTTTTCGTGAATTTGTGATTTGTCTAGTCTATTTAAATCTAATGAACCATTTAATCTACTAATGTTAGTAGCAGATAATTGCACTGTAATGGAAAGTTTCGAAGCACCTTTTATGTTTAGAATTAAGCTCTAATAATCTCTTGTATTGCTGTTTAATGATAACAGACTGAATTAAAATAATTATGTTAAAAAAATACTTATTTGTAGATTTGAAGAAATTGCCCATTTCTAATTAGATATCAAGAACACTGAAATATTGATAAAACAACTTTTACAGAAGAAATGAAACCTCGAATCTTGTGGTCTCTTTACTTTGATTTAGTTTTACCATCCATAGTTTCCCATACCTTGCCAATAAATATGCGAATTGTTCCAAGTATTGACGAACATTTAAATTATGCCCAAATCATTTGCGAGGTAATTTTCTTCTTTGTTTATCAATACCAATTGTATTTTATATCCTTTCTGGTGATTTTTTTTCCTTTTTTTCAGATTAAAAAAATATTTCATATGTTCATTTTTAAGTGTATCTACTTGATATTTATATTCTCGTATAAATTGTTGAAAATTCATTTTCAGCGCTAACATTAATGATTTATCTTTTTCAGGTAAGGAAAATTTTTGAAGAGCTATGGCCAGATCGTGATTTTTTGCCACCCTCATTGATTGAAGAGGAAAGCGAGGAAAGCGACGTTAATTTAGCAAATATTGAGAGGAAGCAGGAAGTTATAGAAAATGTAGTTGAACGAAATGACATAAATAGCGATTTGGCTTCATAATGATATGCTTTTTGTTGAAGGATACCGAAGAACCTTTTCTTTTCTTTTTTGGCAAACAAATTTTAATAAATTTTGTCCAATAAATCTTACAGTTATTTTTGGAGAATTATATAGAAAAGGTATATTTAGGGCGCCCTTTGAGTAAACTGGTTTCTCTTTGATTACAAAGAGATGGGGAATTTTCTTTCTTCTTTTGATTGATTCTCTTTATTTATTTTTGTGTTGCAAGCAATGAGTTCATCATTTTGTCACTGAAACTTTAAATAATGCATTTGTAAATATGGTGTTAAAGTTGTAATGTGACTGTTACACTGAACAAAATTTCTTCATCGCATAACATTTTAATATGACAGCATTGTTGTTTAGTTGAGCTTTAACACCACATAAATACATGAAATTTTTAGACTATTTAGTAAATAAAGCATTGGAATTTAACGGGGAAAAAATGAATTGCTTTCGCTTCTTTTACTTTGAATGGAAATTTTTTGTAATGCTGAAAAGGATGATAACTGTTAATAGTGTCTTATTCTTAAATTGTTTGAAGTCTGTATAAATAACAAAGTCAGTATAATTAACAAGATTAGAAACTTTAGGAACAACATTTGTCTTGTTTTAAAAAATATTTTGTTATAAATTTCCATGAATTCTAATCATGAAATTGGGTGTGAATAAAGCTATAAATATATAAGTTGGAAATTATTAAGGTTAATTTAACCGATTATTAGCCGTATTTATTTGATCAAGATGGCAGCAACAGCAAGGGATGTAACCAGGCCATAGACTTCAATGTAAATGATTTTAATGGTTTTCTTGTTTCTAATAATTATGATTTCATTATGATTTTTTGGCCTTTTTATTATTTTTTTTCTAATTTTTGATTTTAACAATTTTGGCTTGCTGAAATAATTGATATATTGTGTTTTGTTGCAGAGAGGAGATAGTTGCAAATAGATGAACATAATGGAACATGCAGATAATGATGTATACCATAGAAAAGATCATCAGCTGGAGACAAAAAAAGAAAAAAACGAAAATGAAAGTGTTGATTGAGAAGGTTATTGTGAAGAAAGTACAAAAAAATAACATTTGGTAAGTTTTAACTAATAACAAATGCTGATCCATAAAATATGAGAGCTTTCTGTTGTACTTTCCATTATTCATTTGAAACCACTAGACATCATAAATCTTTCGAAGCAGAGCTCAAAAAGTTACCGTTTGAGATAATTATGTCAGTCAATCAATTGATTAGTATATATAATTTGGATGCACATAAGTAAATAAATGATGCACATAAGTAAAAAAAAAAGATGTACATAAGTATATATATATATAAGTTTTAACTGAATTATCTCACTGCTAATGTAAAACTAACAAATAGATGAAAAAGGTGGATTATTTAGATGGGTAAATGATGTATAGTATAGGAAAAATGAACATCAGTTCAAGGTAAAAGAAATGAAAGTGTAAGTATTGATTTGAAAGGGCATAGTGAAAAATATGGAGAGAGGGAGAAAAGAATAATGGAAAAATAAACTAACTGCTTTTTGCTTTTTCAATTATATTCGTTAAAAGAGGCGGCACTTTGGATGTAATCAGGCGAGCAGATGTTTTTGTTGTCTTGATGATTTTTGAGGATTAGATATGTCTTCCCCTGGACCTGGAATATTACTCTATTCTTGCACAATTTTTTTTATGTAACTATGATATGATAAGTAGTAATTTAGTTGATATTGGTTCATTTTAAACATGTAATAATTAATTAACGTATTAAAGATGTCGTTGATGGATCTTTCTAATTAAAAGAGCTAGCTAAACAGAAATAGTAATCAATTTGAGTGCAATGGAATATGCTGTTATTCTTTTTTTCCATATAATCATAATTATAAAGGTCAGCTCACACATCTTTTACGTATCCTTTTCATATACTATTACAAAATTGGATATTTTGTCAGAGAATATCCTTTTGAAAATTGTTAATATCATCATTATTTCTTTCATTTGAGTTAAAATGGTTCTGGGATATTTTTTGTGTATTTGAATTTTCATTTATTCTTCGCCAGAAACATTCAGCTGTTTTTACATACACTTATTTTCACATGTATCTATCATTTCGTTCAAAAAATACACATCAGTAAAGAATTTTTTTCACGGATCAAATTCCAACTTTGACATCATTCTGATCAACAGCTAGCACCGATCTTTGACTTCAGTTCAACAACATATCGATTATAGATCAATTGCCGGAAGTTCTCTTCACTAAAAGAAAGATCAACTCTTACACACAATTGTTAATCAAGTGCCTGATGTTACAGCTGTCTCTCTGTCAAGTTTTAGCTTCTTAGTCATATCTCTAAATTCTAAAATTTTGATCCTAAATCTCATCATTTGAAAACATCAGGTTTTTGCCCTTTCGCATGAGGTTAAGAATTTTTTGTGCATCAGTCGGTTGTCTTCAGACAAAACTTTTATTCTTTCTGGATTTCATCTCTTCCTGCTACCACACCATCAAGTTGATACACTACAAATTGACGTAATTATCTAATCTATGATCACCTAAAAAGTTTCCGCGCAAAAATGTCACTGATCTTGATTGGTTTTACAACCTTTTTCACTCTAAACAAGTTGCTGTATACAGGAATACTTTAAATTATTTATTTATTTATTTAAACTCATCAGAAATTTCATCTCAGATAGTATTTTTTACCATTCTTTTCCATTTCTTTATGTTCTTAAAATGAAACTAAATATAGATGTCTTCTTAAATTTGACGCTAATGATTAAACATTATTAAACTCGCGGTAATTCTAATCAACCAGTTATTGATATTAGTGAGTTTTTAGTGAATTTTTTATGGTGGAATAGATAAACAATAATAAACGAAAGAACAAACTGAAAGAATACATTTATAATAGAAGTTTTGATTGTTGATAATTGTTTACGCGATTATCAGTCTTCATTTCGAATAAGTTAGAAAAGCTGTGTAGAAAATCTTATAGTCGAAAGTATTTCATCTTAGCACTTAAAATGCTGCAGGTTAACTGCTGCTACATTTTTTGTTGTTGTTGTTCTAAGAGTAAAATGTTGGAGCATTATCATCAATATCACTTATTAGTATTTGTTATTTATTAGAGATTAAGTTTTACACATCTCAGTAACAATGTCAATCATACAAAACAATATATGCATGAGTTTCTTAAGTCAGATTGTGGAGAAATAGGATATTTTTATAGAAATTGTTACTGAGAAGTATAAGTAGTAAGAAGTTGCTCATTTCAAGAAAGATAATGACTGATAAGGAGTCAATGAAATAATATTGTTAGATCATTTAATACATGGTAGTTCTGACTTCAAACATATGACAGAAAAGCTCCTTTATTACCTTATGTGACAGATGTTCCTTTTATTTTTATTCATTCATTCATTCATTCCATTCTTAAGAATATTTCCTAATGAGAAAATTGGCAAGACAACCTTCGACTAATGAAATATTTGAATGATTTGTTTCATTTTTTGAAATTAAAATGGATGAATTATTTGATCACATTGATAGTTTCTTTTTATTATTTTCATAGTTTCAAAATGTGTTATTGTATTCTTTTTTGAATATTTTTTTAATGAAACAAATTAGTTGGGAAAGGATTGTTTTAAAATTTTTTCAAATTTTCAGGCCATTTTTATATATTGTATATGTGGTATGAATATATCATAGTGAATACGCATATGCAAAAATTTAAGAACTAAAAATATGCCAGGAAATAAAGCCTTAGAAATTACTCATGTGATATTTGATTTGGATGGTTTATTGATTGATACGGAGCCAACTTATACAGAAACTCATACATTTGCTATGAAGCATTACGGAAAAAAATTTACACTGGATTTAAAGTCATTTACAATGGGTATGAAACATGAACCTTCCATCAAAATATTACTCGATAAGGTTGGTTCTTTACCCTTTCATTTCAATAAATTATAATTGCATTTTATTTTTAAACAAATTTAGGATTTTTGAAAATTTTTTACTTTAGAAATTTTATCCTTCAATGTTGTCATACATAAAAACAATAATTTTTATTACTGTGTAACTATTCAACCTTTTTCTTATTTTGAATTTTGAAGGTTGGCTTAACAGACAAAGTGAGTGTTAAGGAATACGATAATTTGTATAATCCAATACTTCTTAAAAAGTTACCATATTGTCAAAAGATGCCTGGAGCATTACGATTGGTTCGACATTTTCATAAACATAATATACCGATGGCAATATGTTCTGGATCCAGTAGTTATTCATTCAAATTTAAAACAATGAATCATAAAGATCTTATCGATTTAATACCTCTGCAGGTGTACTATTAATTTCTCTAATTTACTTTAGCAAATTTTGGAAAAATTTTTTACACCTGTTTAATTTCTCACTAATTTCAAATGCAATGTATTACAAAAATAATTTTCTTTCAGTGACTTTTCGAATAAAAATCGCTAGTCTGACTTCATTAGTTTTTGTCCTATTACCGAAATAACCTTTTTTTTTTCGTTTTTACTTGAAGGAAGTAATATCGATAACTGATACTTCTTTCATGTTTTGAGAAATTTTTATTTTCGCACTTGCAAAATAATTTAATTTAGATATAATATCGGTATACACGGGAGGGAACAAGGAATTATCTCCCGTGCTGTAATGAATTTTCAGAAAAATTTTCCAAAAACATTAAACTCAAGTTTGTATTCCATGTTCCATGCTAGTAAGTATCAATCAGTCATTCAAATTCTAGGTGAAATGCAGTAGCGATCCAGAAATAAAAGAAGGTAAACCATCACCAGAAGCATATCTTGTAACAATGCAAAGATTCCGGAATCCGCCAGTCGCGCCCAGTAATGTTTTGGTTTTCGAGGATGCTCCAAATGGTGTTTTGGCTGCTATTCGTGCTGGAATGAATGTTGTCATGGTGCCCGATTTGAGGTACGTAAAAGTACCTGATGAAGGGAAGGAGCAAATTGTGGAAGTGCTAAAAAGCTTAGAAGATTTCAGGCCTGAATCAGTAGGCTTACCAGCTTTCGACCATTTGTAACTACAATTATTTTATTTTCTCTTCACTTCAAGCTTTCAATGAAATATTTTTAAAAATGCTATGATTATTATTATGTGCATAGAATTGATATTGAAATTGTATTAATTGTTTTCATTGAAATTTGTAAATTTTCATAATATATGACACTTCTACTTATATTAGCATTTATCGAATTCAAAACTACGATGATGATTGTATAAATTGACAAATGAGAAAGTTCTTTAGACAAGCTGATCAAATCAATTTCGTTGTTAAATATTTACTTGTTTCTTTCAAATGTAATTGAAAAAATCGTATAACACTTTTTAATTTCACTACACACAGCAGTAAGTGAAAACGTCATTTAAAAAATACAAATTACACTGTAATTTACCACTTGCACTCTAAATAAGTGCACTTGATAATTTGAAGAAATTTTCAGCAATTAAAATTTCTGAACTTCAAATACTATCTAATTAAATTTGTTTTCTTTTGAATTTTATTTTTTATATCCAGAAAATACAAGCAAAGATTCCAAATTCCTAATTTGTCTTACATATTTACCTATAAAATTAATGATTTTCTGGCTCATAAAAGAATTGCTGGTGATGATTGGAGACGGAAGATGTGAATTAAAAACTTTGATTTCTGAAAAAAAGAAGTTTTCATGGGATGTAGTTTTTTCGTTTTGAAAAACACATTATGGGTAAGTTTTGTAGAAGATTAATTATGATAATATAAGAAAAGTTTGTTATGAGAGTAATTCTGCTCTTCATCAGCATTTTTTAGTATGTCCAAAATGAGGTCACAAGCTAATAATGATACCTGCTGAACAGGAAATGGAAAAATTAAGATCTGACAAAAAGCTATAAACAAATTCCCTTCCCATTAACCTAATTCTAAGCCTGTTTCAGTATTTGATATATAAGCATCTCTTTCCTGAACTTCCTTATAGTAACCTGAACAGAAGACCTCTTCTAACAAGTACTCAGTAAGTTTCTCAATTACTGTCCTTTCCTTACTAAAATTTAATTATCTGAATTAGTATTTACCTAAGCCATCTTTTCAATCATTTGTTTGACACAATTTGATAACTGAAATACTAATTATCTGTACTGAAGTGATGGTATCACTACGACTTGCTGCAGTATTACTGTTAGCTCTGTTGACAGTATCGGTGACAGCATCTGGTTGGTGGGATTTTGACTGGCATAACCCATGGCACCAATATCATCACCATCATCATCATGGACACTTCCCGTGGCATCAACATTTCCATCACCATTCACATCACAGTGGTCATCACTCATTAAGTCATGAAGGATGGAAATGGGATTGAAAACTGAAATTTATTAAATCGTTAATTTTTTTATCAGTTTTGTCTTTTATTTCTCACATTGTTTTCTAATCATTGAGAAGAAATAAATTATGTTGGCGCATTTCATGAGTTATTCATATAAAAGTGACTTCTTTGCCGCAAAAATAAATACATTTAATGAGACAATGATAAGTTATCACTCACTTTTTCCTTTATTACTACTCACTATTGAACCACAACATAGAACTATTGTTAAAAACCCATAGTATATAAACATTAATTATACTAACTCATTATTGACATCTCCATAAGTTAATACAACTATAACCGATTGCGATATATCATCCCTTCGATTACCCAGCAAATGTTATCCGAAAGATCTATTCGATGAAGATAAGAAAAAAATTATGATTATGCTGAAAATTTTCGAATTAAAATTTTTTTGAATGAAGATAGTTTACACTCGATTTACTTTCCACGATACAACCCAATAACTGAGATAATTATATAACGACAGCACGGGGAATTACCCATGCTGCAACTGCATATACGCAGTTGAAATTGAGAACAGAATTCTACATACCCAAAGGTAGAACCGAAATTAAGCAAATATTGAACAAATGTATGGTTTTGCGAGAGATACCATTTAAATTCCCGGCCGTGCCGAATCTTCCACAAACTCGAATCACACGTTCTCGAATATTTGAATACGTTGGATTAGATTATATGGGTCCTCTTTCTATTAAAATTGAGATCGATGGATGGCACTTTTCACATGTTTCAAACAAGAGCAGTACATTTAGAACTGGTAGAAAATCTATCGAGCGAAATCTTTTTGCACTTATTAAAAAGATTCGTTTGTCCGAAGAGGTTACCATAAATTAATTTTGAGTGATAATGACAACCAATTTCAATTACTTTTCCAAATCATTATGAAATGAGATGGGAAAAAACCATACTGAGAGTTCCATGGGATAAAGAAATTTATGAAATAAAGACTGAAATAACCAAAAGGACTGTGAGAAAAGCCATGACAGAAAATTGTAATGAGAAAGGGAATTAATAACAATAAAATAGAAAACATATTAAATACTCGTTCGCTAATTTTGAAGATTGTTTAATCATATGCCCAGTTGATTTCGTTTCACCCAACATTTACCCGCAATTAACGACAATGAACTGAAAGAATTTTCTCGCACAAACCAAATACTAAAGAGAAAATTATTAAATATTGGTCAAACACTCTCAAGGTTTAGACACATTTTGGGACGCATAGAGAAATGGGTATCTGATTAGTCTTCGAGAAAGAATCTCCGAGAGATGTAGTAGCGAGAGATCTCCGTGAGGATGAAATTGTGTTGGTCAATGAACTAGAAATTTCCCGTGGCATTTGGAAACTAGCCAGATTAGCCAAAAAAAACAATATTAAATTTGAAATAGAAATTAATTTTAATTGTCAAAATGAATTAAAGCTATGACAAATTAAAAAACTCATTTCGCTAGTGAAATATTGTTCAAAACCTAATTATTAAAGTTTATTTTTTTATTTATGCTGTCAAATGACCACAATGTATGTGACCAGTTCCCGCACTATGCATATAAAATAATGAACTAAGTTCTAGTAATCTATTTTTTTAATGAGTTGCTATTTTTTAATAGTTTAACACTTAATTAAAATGAAATTTGATAATACTAGAATTTGTTTCCAAGTTTAATGTACAAAAGCTCTTACAAATTGTAAGATTTTCACAAAAATTAATATGAAATGAAGGAAATTAAAAGAGGAAGGGTTGAAGAAATAATAAAATTACCACAGAAAAAAATTCTCAATGAACCAGGAAAGATGCTGTGTCCATTGAAAATCGACGGTGAAGGAAATTCGGATTCTCAACGAACAGTGTTCGACAAATCAATTCAGAGATCGATAAACATGAACCTGCTTACCTGTGTTCCTGAAAGCATTCAGCTCATTCAGTAAGGAGTGTCATGAGACTCGAAATAAGTATCGCAAACCTTCAAATAACAAAGTATATCAAATAAAATTGTATCACATCCATAAAACTAAAAGTTGCCTTATTTGTTTTCATCTTCCAAATAGATTGTTTACACGGTATTAGCTTCTTATTTAGTTGACCTCATAGCTGTTATTTCGTCATTAATTGTAAATTATGTTTGAATTTACACCATTAACCACTTTGGCTTAACTGACTTCCTTCAAACCAAATTAGCAGCTTTTTGTTAGACCGATTACTCTTTCAGAAGGTCAACCTAATATTATAAATCACATACTCTGTTTATGCATACCGCTTGCTACATAAGGAGGTCATCCTTGTTCAAGAGGATATTGTGTGTTTTTACCAAGAATCAGGAGGGTTCTACTTCAATTCTCAATCAAGTTATTGTACTATTGCTTCTGCAATTCAAAGCAATTATTATATTCTTCTGTAGCCCCACATATTTACATCTACATCCAACAAATCTTCCCGAGACCAGTAGCCTCTCCCAAAATAATTAAATTTTCAAATTTTCCACAACTCTTGATAGGCATTAGTGAAAATTTCAAAATAATTAGTCAATGCACTGAATAATTGATTTTGTGAGAGATAATTATTTCTGAACTGAAAAGTAATTCAAATGAAAATGTTTTTTGTCTAAATTTGTTAATTTGATAAGTACTGGCACCATTCACATACGGAAAGCTTTGTCGAAACAATCAAAATTTTAATTTTTATCGCTTTTTTATTAAATAAAATCAGAAATCTTTTTGCTTCTTTGTAGACTTGTTTTGGTGCTTAATTTGCCTTTTATTTCAAAAATTTTTTACATTTTATTGGCGTTAAGTTCAATAAATGTACTAAGAATTGCAACGACAGTAACAAGAAGATCATTCATTTAGATTTGTTTATCAGAAATCACAAAGTCCAAAAGATACCAACGAAACGATATTTAATATGAATCTGTGGAAAAATTTCAATCCCATTTCCATCCTTCATGACTTAATGAGTGATGACCACTGTGATGTGAATGGTGATGGAAATGTTGATGCCACGGGAAGTGTCCATGATGATGATGGTGATGATATTGGTGCCATGGGTTATGCCAGTCAAAATCCCACCAGCCAGATGCTGTCACCGATACTGTCAACAGAGCTAACAGTAATACTGCAGCAAGTCGTAATGATACCATCACTTTAGTACAGATAATTAGTATTTCAATTATCAAATTGTGTCAAACAAATGATTGAAAAGATGGCTTAGGTAAATACTAATTCAGATAATTAAATTTTAGTAAGGAAAGGACAGTAATTGAGAAACTTACTGAGTACTTGTTAGAAGAGGTCTTCTGTTCAGGTTACTATAAGGAAGTTCAGGAAAGAGATGCTTATATATCAAATACTGAAACAGGCTTAGAATTAGGTTAATGGGAAGGGAATTTGTTTATAGCTTTTTGTCAGATCTTAATTTTTCCATTTCCTGTTCAGCAGGTATCATTATTAGCTTGTGACCTCATTTTAGATATATAAGACAGCTCGCAGTTGATTTATACCATAATATCCTCACTAATTCTTTTCTTTCTCATTGAATTGAAGCAAGGTGGTATGTTTGAATATTCCTTCAATTTTTATGTTTCTTATCGGCAGCGTCCATTAATGTTGCAAACATTTCTAAAACTTCTAAATCTTTAAAACTTTTTAAGAGCAAATGGTATCACTGCGATTTGCCACAATATTATTGCTAGCTCTGTTGACAGTATCGGTGACAGCATCTGGCTGGTGGGACGATGACTGGGATGAACCCTGGCATCAGTATCATCACCATCACCATCATGGACACTTCCCGTGGCATCATCAACATTTCCACCATCACCCACATCACGATGGTCATCATTCGTTTGGTCACGGAGGATGGAAATGGGATTGATGTGTTTGTTGTCAACGCTGTTCTTTTTCTGTACTTGTCACTTTATACGAAGAATGATAAATGATAAAAACTTCTGCATACTCACTAGTCATTTGATTAACTGATAAGAAAAAGAAAAGTAGAATTGCAAATAGGATTAAATTTTCATCAGCATACTGCAAATAGCAGTTATCGGGTTGATAAAACAAAGATAGTGCTATTGATAGATAATTGAGTATTTAACTATAAAGTTTGAAGTACAAATCTCGCAATCCTCATAATTTCAAATCAGAACATATTTACTACAAATAGTAAAATAATACGAAGTAAAATAATGCTATAAATACTTATCATAATTTCAGTTGTTACTTTTCTTAAAAAATTTTTTCAAGTAATTCTTTGTTATTTCGGAGTTCTCACATACTTTACTTTGAAAATCATTTGCAAGTTCCATACTACTTTTAATTTAATTCACACTTAATTCCTTTAATTTAATATCATAAATTGTCTTTAATTAATATTAGTGACAGATATATGCGAGAAAAAAATTTTTTTAAACTTTCTGTTCAAATGATTGTATCATTCTTATTAATATGAATAATTATAATTAATTGCTACTTTATTACGAATCTTTTTGGTATTTTACAAAATTTAGCAAAATAACACTAATTGCGCTAATGTTAGCCGAATTGGCGTTAAATTAATGAAATTTAGCATTCAGATCCAGTTTTCACAGCTTGCATTGAAATAAATGATTTTTATTTATCTTAATGAGTTTTGGTTTATTAAGTTATATTTTATTCAATATCAACTGTGTTTATCAGTTTGCACTCAACGAAATGTTTTGCAATTTAAACAATCGATTGCAATTATTATCATCTTAGATAATTATTTGTAAAATTTATAAAAATTACCAAAAAATAATAGAAAAAAATTGTTTCATTAGAATATGCTGAAGACGAACTCGATACTACAGGTACAACAGGTGCTGTTGAAACAGCTGGAATCCAATTGCAATTAGCGTTGCATAGATTGGCTTCATTACAGATTAATGTATAGAAATGATTTCCAAGCATATCGGTGCTAGAAATTA